CTTCGTATATATTTGTCCGGTGCTTGAATAGTTTTTCAAAGGAAGAAATAGAAAGCAGCTATGCAGATTCCGAACTTGGCAGTGCATTTGGATTGCTGCATATTTTTGCATAAAATGCCGCACGACGCATCTCAAAATCCGTTGCAGACGTAAGTGCGAATCTTCGCAGACATTTAAAAGAAATAGCGCTTACTATAATGATACATTCTTCAGCCAAGATTTTAAGGAATTTAGAAATTGAAAATCCTCTGTTTAAACGCAGGGTTGGAAAATTGAAAGAAAGAAATCTGCTTCAATAACTAAAGTCAGATGCACAAAAAAGTCTGCCTTTAAGCCATGTCTCAATTTATGTCTCCGTAAGTCGTCTAGAACCGGAAATTTTTTTAACGAGAAAAATTATTGCTGGACGTATGGATACTTAAAAAGCTCCTCTCTTTTTATAATAACACATTTTGGCTTAGGTCTTTGGGATTTATATGTAACTTCTCAACTGGAATTCTCGACGTAGCATTTTTTGAGTAAAGAACAAAATGCAGGTTGAACTCTCGGAAATTTTTGCTAGGACAAGTGTAACTTCAGTCTTTTTTAAATGATCCATCGAGTATTTATTTTCATCGTAACTTCTAATTTATTCTATTATAAAGTATATATTTTTAAGGATTATATTTCTAATTTATTCTATTATTCCATATGATTTATTATAATTTATGAAGGTATCGATTGATACGGATTCTAAAAAATATTTTTATAGGCAATTCGTTAGACATAGGATATTCGTTTATAATAATGACTGTTACTTATTGAAGACATCTGTATTTAAAGACGCAATTCAATCAGGATGTGGTAGAATCGGAAGAAACATGCTTGAAAAACCAGTTCCGTAAACCAGCACATTTCTTTGCACATGAAAAAATAATTCTAGGTTGTATTCCGTTAAGCTTATACCTTTGTCAGTTATTAAAATAAAAATGTGTAATAATACTCAAGTGGAAACTTGTGATCTTTGCTTCGCTTCGTCCTTCAACATAAAAGCGATCCGAAAGTAAGTTTGTGAACTGCATTCATTGTTAGCTTAGTAAGTTTTGAGAAGCTTCCTGAAGGGGTTGCCAAGCTAATCAAAAACTTGTATAATCTTTACTCTATGTGTTTTTTTATTTTTCTTATTACTGTACATCTATTTCTTCAACACTTTGGCGAATAAAATGACAATACCTTACCTTAGAAGATGTTCAAAATCCTAAACTGTCGACGCTTCTTCTTCAAGTCCAGTTGACTTTAAAATTCACTAAAATGCCAATCGAATGAATGGCAAGTCCACGTGCTGAATTTCCAATGTACCGTATACAGTATCTCCGCCACGGATGGTGCCAACATGTTGCCAATTTTTGGTATTTTTCAGGGACACGCTGATTTTGGCAGCAGTGAATAGCGGGACTTCGATCTTCGCCGGGTTCGTGATTTTCTCGTCCCTGGGCTACATGGCCCATGTGAAAGGGGTGAACGTCAGTGACGTGGTGGCGTCTGGGCCTGGGCTGGTATTTCTGGCCTACCCCGAGGTCATCCGCAAACTCTCACTGTCGCCCCTTTGGGCTGTCCTCTTCTTCATGATGCTCACGGTTGGCTTCTTTCAATATTTTAAAACGATTTTAACTTTGTATCTATCAGCAGATGCATAGAGCATGAGAAAAATTTTCTCTTGATTTTTAAACAAAATTGCTAATTTTTGAAAATTTTGAATATTCATATTGGCATAACAAGAGAAAGGCGAATTCCATTTACATGTTGGTCACTTTGCCAATTTTTCATCTATGTATCATGACGACGGTGGACATATTATGACAAGAATTTTAATTGAAAGTTTTTTTGTTTGTTTTACAGAAGTGTCTTTTTTGAGTCTCTGCTATTTTATTGCTTCTTCTTGGGCACCAATTCCAAGATAGCTTTCAACAATCAACAGAAGACACTTCCTTATTCTTGATGCAGATGATTCAAAAGATGTCAGATGATCATTACTTGTTTATCAATCAATCAGTCAACCATTCCTTTCTGTATCTGCGTTTGGTGGATAGTTCCAGTCTTCTAATGATGAGATTGAGTAAACATGATCCGCAATTGACAAAATTTATTCCCCAATTGCATGCTGCAAAAATAGATGGCAGTATTAAATTTGTCACGCGGAATCTGAGAACCCAAATTCTCAGTTGAATCTTCATCTCAGTGAGAATCTTGAAAGACCTTGGTTCTCACGTTTCTTTCAGGGCCTTCAAGGCTGTATTTTATTACCAAAATCCTATTGCTGTTTTTCATCCTTCGAGGACTGTTTTCCTGTTTCCCAAATTGGCAAAAAGCATTCATTCCGATTCAAGCTCTTGTGTGCATTTTTACTAAATGACTTTACGCGTGAAAAACACTTTGTGAAAACTTTCAATTCTTGAATTATACCAACTTTAAAATAGGGTGATTTTTTGGTACTTTCCTGTTATCTCAGTACCCATTTTTCTTTGTCTCGTGAATTCAGTATTTGTGCAATGAAAAATTAGTTAATCACATTAGTTGAAAAGAAAAGGAACTGCATCACTACCATCCAGACAAATAACCTAACTTCACCTAACCGCCTCCCAAAATCAGTTTCAGCAGAAACCCAAAGTTAGAAAGCAGAAACTGATTTTGGGAGGCAGTTAGGTAAAGTTAGGTTAGGTCAGGTTATGTTAATTGAAAGATACTGTATTTGTAACTAACATAACCTGACCTAACCTAATTGTACCTAACCACCTCCCAAAATCAGTTTCAGCAGAATGCGGAAAATGAAATTCACAGTTTCTGGTAGGTGCACAGAAAGTAGGTACTGAGATAACAGGAAAGTACCGATTTTGCACCCAGGTTGTAGGTGCCCAACCAAATTCTGGTGTTTCATTTCCTAAAACTAATCAAGTTCAAAATCTCTTCTCGTAAAATCTTTATTTGTTGAGGATTTATTCCCAACATTGCAAGAAATAAAGAAACACATACACAGGAGAGCTCCTTCATGAGTTTTTCAGTATTTTAAATGCATTTCTCGGACAGTGAACAAAACAATAATGCAGACAAAATGATGCTGCATATACATTCAAATGAAAAATCTGTTGGAAACATCAACCGAGATAATAAATTCTCTTTGAGGGAATTCAGACAAGGACAATTGAACAGCTTTTTCAAATCAGGGAGGTTGAAAGTGAACATACCAAATTCCATAGTTCCTTACATTTTCTTTTGGAGTTATCCCTTAACGTTAGAGTTTGCCTGCAGAATATGTCACAGACCCTGGGCATCGACAGCATGTTCAGCTGCTTGGACGGGTTCGTTTCCACACTGTGTGACTTGTCCCCGCGATTGCACAAGCACAAACGGAAACTCATCGCAGCCTGGGCTCTCATCTTCTTCCTGCTGGAACTTCCGCTGGTGACCCGAGGTGGGATCTACCTCTTCACACTGCACGAATACTACGGATCAGCCAGCATCACTCTGCTCTCGATGGCTTTTTGTCAGGTAAAATTTTTCGAATAAATTCAACCAGAAAAAAAAAACAAATACAAAAGTGTTGGGGATACAACTGATTAGAAAGTTTGCTGTTTACAGGGTGGGGACAAAACAGTGAAGCAATTTTTGATTTAGAAAACTGTAGATTAGGAAGAAAATCAAGCTGCAGCATTGAAGAAAAGCCAAATAAATGCTTGTTCAATACCCTTTCAAAAAATATGAATGAATGAACAGAACACTTTATTTGAACTAACATAACCTGACCTAACCTAGTTGTACCTAACCACCTGCCAAAATCAGTTTCAGCAGAATGCGGAAAAATGAAATTCACAGTTTCTGGTAGGTGCAAGGAAAGTAGGTACTGAGATAACAGGAAAGTACCAATTTTTCACCCCGGTTGTAGGTGCCCAACCAATTTCTGGTGTTTCATTTCCTAAAACGAATCAAGTTCAAAATCTCTTCTTGTAAAATCTTTATTTGTTGAGGATTTATTCCCAACATTTCAAGAAGAAAAAGAAACACACACACAGGAGAGCTCCTTCATGAGTTTTTCAGTATTTTAAATACATTTCTCGGACAGTGAACAAAACAATAATGCAGACAAAATAATGCTGCATATACATTCAAATGAAAAATCTGTTGGAAACATCAACCGAGATAATAAATTCTCTTTGAGGGAATTCAGACAAGGACAATTGAAGAGCTTTTTCAAATCAGGGAGGTTGAAAGTGAACATACCAAATTCCATAGTTCCTTACATTTTCTTTTCGAGTTATCCCTTAACGTTAGAGTTTGCCTGCATAATATGTCACAGACCCTGGGCATCGACAGCATGTTCAGCTGCCTGGACGGGTTCGTTTCCACCCTGTGTGACTTGTCCCCACGATTGCACAAACACAAACGGAAACTCATCGCAGCCTGGGCTCTCATCTTCTTCCTGCTGGAACTTCCGCTGGTGACCCGAGGTGGGATCTACCTCTTCACCCTGCACGAATACTATGGATCAGCCAGCATCACTCTGCTCTCCATGGCTTTTTGTCAGGTACAATTTTTCAAATAAATTCAACCAGAAAAAAACAAAGAGAAAAGTGTTGGGGATACAACAGATTAGAAAATTTGCTGTTTACAGGGTGGGAACAAAACAGTGAAACAATTTTTGATTTAGAAAACTGTAGATTAGGAAGAAAATCAAGCTGCAGCATTGAAGAAAAGCCAAATAAATGCTTGTTCAATACCCTTTCAAAAAATATGAATGAATGAACAGAACACTTTATTTGGGGCTTTTCAGCCTTCACATGGTTCAATCAAGATTTCCACAATCAAACCTCCTTCCCACCCAACCCAAATCCACTCAATGACATTTAATCACTTCAAAGCAGGAAACAGAGCACAAATTGATGACAAACATACAAGAAAATACAATCAATGAAATACAAGTGGACATCTGACATGTATGCACATAGAATTCAAATGATATTGAATTCTATGGTCCCAAGTACCACAGGATAGTCACAAGAATTGTTCAAATTAAAAGTTTAAAAAAAAAAGCAAAGCTGTCAGGCAACTCCTTCCACTGAGCTACTCTTCTTTAGAGCTGTTTTCAGGGATAAATAAAGGGGTGGCAGGACCAGTAATTTAACCAGCATACTTCATGCTGCCCTCAAGAGAGTGCACACATTCCCAAATTGTAGGGGGTGATTATGTTACAGCCCAAAAATGGCAACATGTTCCACTTGTCACCAAAGCAACTTTTGCTGACTCTGTGCTCAGGAGAACCAGACAACCAACATATTTTTTTTTGCTGGATTTGTGTGTCTTACCAAAATTTTGTTTGGTAAGCCCATATACAGGGACAAGAATCACCCAAGCCATAAAAACCTTCTCTTCTGCATTGAGAGGATCAGTTGAAATATGCTCAAGTGAGCATTCAAATTGAATTAAATTTCATTTTTCTGAGCTAATTAACCCATCAACCAAATGAGGTTCTGTTTAATCCTCCCAGAACAACAGCGAAATAAATGACATCATAAAGCGGTGTTCCCCAACTTGTGATGCTACTCATGCTAGGTCAGAGGACCAGTGCCAGTATGTAGAAGTTTTTTGCCAGTCTGTGGGAAATTTTCTTTAGCATAATGAATTTATCAAACGTCTTTTGTCCTCATCTGAAATTTTGGGAAGATGATGGGAGTTTGATAATAAAAATTTTCCTTTCCTCCTAACAACAATCAAGACAAACCTTCACTTGCTGAAGCAAATTATTTAAATTACTGTATTCATTTTAAGAAACATTTCTTCAAGTCCACCTTTTTAATTTATATGACATTCCAAAGATGGTGCTTTGTTTGTCCTTGAGTTCATTTTTGCTAAGGAACAGGAATGTTTTCAATACCTGCCATGAAGTGTCTCAAACAAAACTTTTTTGAGTCATAAACATTTTTATGACACTTTGCTGGACCATGGAAAATTTCTTGGAAATTTGCTGGTCCATATGATCCCAAAAAGATTAAGGAACACTGATCTAAAGCACTACTGAGAAGGAACTCCTTTGAGAAGAGTTGAATCCTTCAAGATGTATGAACTTCGATGGCTGGACTCTACTTGATTTCTTTGTCTGGGATTCAATGGGCCCATGACAGGGATGACTCAGAAACTCAGAAGACATTTATGAGGAAGCCCAAAAAACAATTATGATCAGAAAACTTGCATTTGGATCTAAAAAATAAGCGATAAACTTCTCCTGTCTTTTCCCTCAGACTGAGCGCTTGAAAAAAGATCAATTAGACGTGATTAATCCTACACCATTCGAGGAAAGGGACATCTGTTGGAAAAAACTTCGGCATGCCGACAATTCGGCGCCAGATTAATTTTAAATGACAGTCTTTCCCGAAAATTTCTAACAGCTTCTGCTGGAGCCTGGGAACCGAACCCGAGTTCGATTCCCAGGCCCAGCAAGGACATCTTCTGAATGGATTTCTTAATCCGCGTCCTTCAGACAGCGAAATAAATGACATCATAAAGCGGTGTTCCCCAACTTGTGATGCTACTCATGCTAGGTCAGAGGACCAGTGCCAGTATGTAGAAGTTTTTTGCCAGTCTGTGGGAAATTTTCTTTAGCATAATAAATTTATCAAACGTCTTTTGTCCTCATCTGAAATTTTGGGAAGATGATGGGAGTTTGATAATAAAAATTTTCCTTTTCTCCTAACAACAATCAAGACAAACCTTCACTTGCTGAAGCAAATTATTTAAATTACTGCATTCATTTAAAAACACCTTTCTTCAAGTCCACCTTTTTAATTTTTATGACATTCCAAAGAGGGTGCTTTGTTTGTCCTTGAGTTCATTTTTGCTAAGGAACAGGAATGTTTTCAATACCTGCCATGAAGTGTCTCAAACAAAACTTTTTTGAGTCTGAAAAAATTTTATGACACTTTGCTGGACCATGGAAAATTTCTTGGAAATTTGCTGGTCCATATGATCCCAAAAAGATTAAGGAACACTGATCTAAAGCACTACTGAGAAGGAACTCCTCTGAGAAGAGTTGAATCCTTCAAGATGTATGAACTTCGATGGCTGGACTCTACTTGATTTCTTTGTCTGGGATTCAATGGGCCCATGACAAGGATGACTCAGAAAGTCAGAATACATTTATGAGGAAGCCCAAAAACAATTATGATCAGAAAACTTGCATTTGGGTCTAAAAAATAAGTGATAAACTTCTCCTGTCTTTTCCCTCAGACTGAGCGCTGGAAAAAAGGTCAATTAGACGTGATTAATCCTACACCATTTGAGGAAAGGGACATTATTCATTATTTTTTACGTTGTGGGAATTTTTTTTCTAATCGTTCTGTTTTCATGTCGCCTTTCATCATTTCCTTGGAAACAGGCTGTGGCTTATGTTTGGATTTGGGGAGCAGACAAGATATCTGATTGCTTGTTCGAAATGATCGGGTTTCGGGTATCCTGGTGGTGGCGATTCTGCTGGAAATTCGCTGGGCCTGGTTACATGCTGGTGAGGATTCATTAATTGATTTCCGTCTCGCCCATTTCAGGACTATCTGGAAAGTTTATTTACTATAAGTGGCTGAAATCTGTCCGTCTAGATATATTCCTAAATTTTGGACAATCGTTAGCGCTTGGGATTTAAAGCAGCGCATTATGTCGAAATTGGATACATTATTCCGACGCGATCCAAAAAAAATACTTCTGATCTTTTGGACTTTATTTCAAGCTTTATTTTTAGCTGGACGTGCGAGAAAAATTTCTCGCGTTAAAATCTGCTTCTTGACATTTTAAATGTTCGAATCAGTAAACTGATGCGAAAGACGGAACCAACGGAGAAATTTTCACAATTTTCGATTGGAAGAATGTTGTCAAACAGTTCTGATGAATCGCCATGAAAATATGTTGGAAATTGTTTAAAAAATGAACAGCACTTGAAATTTGGAACAGCACGAGTTTTTTGAAAGTGTAATGATGATGTGAAGTGTTTTCAAAGCATATCTTCTAAATTTTAACCTAATTGAAGAAACTTTAAATGATGGCCAAGAAATTATCTAACTTTTTTTGGCAAAAATGTCATCCATCACTATTATTTATCCAATAGACCAATGAAAGGAATTTATCCAATGAAAGGAAAGCATAAAGATAGAAAAAAGTATGGAACGAACCCGACAAAACGGAAATGTGAAATTTTAGAAGAATTTCAGACTCTTTCAATTTTTCGATTGATTAGCTGATGAGCTTCAATCGAAAAATTGAAAGAGTATTGAAATTCAATTTTTGTCACTGCATTCCAGTGACGAATTGACAAATTTTTGCATGAAGTGCAGCATATATTTTGAATTGAGGTATATTATTTGAGAGATGAAACTTGAAAAATATATATTGTGGCTGGTATGCTTACTTGAACCTGTCCCCGAAAATTTTAGTACTTTCTCTGAATCCGCACGGAATTTAAAATTTGGCATCACTCGTTCCTCGATAATATTTCGTACAATTTTTCCGTTTCATGCCTATTTTTTTCGGTCATGAAATTTACTATTTGTTTTGTTTCTTCTTTCCTGCGCAGTTCATTTTCTTCTTCTTCTTCATCAACTACGAGACTGTCAAGTACAACAACTACGAATATCCCGTCTGGGGTCAAGTGCTGGGAGTGTTGATAGCTGCGTCTTCCCTGGCCTGGGTTCCTGCCTACGCCATTTACTACCTCGTGAAGCAGAAAAAGCCTCTGCGAGAGGTAAATTGTACCTCATTCAAACATTAAAGACCACTGCAAAAAAATTCAGTTGAAATTTCCCACCGTCTGCAGGCGTGGAAGATTGGCACAACGGCCACGACAGTGACGGCGAGACCCGAGCGACAAGAACACGAGCTGGAGGAAGTTCCTGAGACCGGAAGTGGAGCGGATTCATTCGAGTCGGAAACTGCGAAATCTGCGGGAATCAAAGCGAACGGAAGAGAACTTCCTGATGAAAACGTGGACGGAATCAGTCAAACGAACGTGAATCTCAGCGGATAAAATCGAACTGAGATTCTCCTTATATATAATATTATTTTGTTTCCTCGGCGAGGCCGAAAACTCGAAAGCTTTTTTTCAGGCCTCATATTTTCTTTCGTAAGCAAGAAATGTTCTACAAAAAGTTTATTTAAAAATAGGAAAATATTCGAAAAATCTCAAGGTCACGTACATGAAGAACAACGTTCTTCACACATACTTCATTTCAATAAGCGTCGGAAAATTCGTATTCAAAGTTAAAATATTTGAAGCTCTTGAAAAACGCAGTTCGTCTAAATGCTGTAAAGAAAATTTGTATTCAAAGTCCAAATATGTGTCAATGAAAAATGACTTTCTCAAAATCAGTGTATTCAAAAATGGGCAACTTGCATCCGAAAGTTCAAATATCCCCAAGAAAAATGACGGCCATCAGACGAAAATCTTACACGTTACAGGAGGAAATGGGTAATATTTTCTATTTATAATTCCGTGTATTAAACGTTTCACTTTTCAAACCCTCCTCTTGAGCAATATCACAGTTCAGCTTCCATGTTGATTGTCACAAAAATCAAATGTTTTGGTAGTGATTCGTTTTATGAAAAATCGAATTATTCCGAACACCAAAAAAATGATCTGAGGGTAATTTCCCTGGTTATATACAAGTAAATAGGTGCCATATGTCTTCTATTGAAGTGTATTCCAATTTTCCCAGTTTTTGATAGCTTTGCTGGAGCAATGCCAAAAAATGTGTTTGTTGTTGAATAGCTTGGAGAACCATCTTGAAGAAATCTCGTAATAAGTATATCATTATACTGTACCTTATCACGCAAAGGCAAAACAGAAAAGAATTTGTTGACGAGTGGTTGATTCAGCAAAATTTACAGCCATTAGATGAGAAAGATATCATGTATGATACCCTGTATTTAACGATGTCATAATGTGACGAAGCGTATTTTTCTGTTGATTCGGTTTCGGTGTGATTCGCAAGAGTTTTTCACTTTTCAGGAATGAAAGTGAAACATATTCCCCATGACTTTGAAAAAACATGTTTGTATTATAAGAAAACCATCTTATTTAAAGTGCCAAGTAATAATGACGTTTGGCATATTTTCCAGAGTTTAAGCGACATTTAACGTGGAACTTTAAAGTGAACTTGATTCGGAAAAATATATGCATTTGTATAACGAAGAGTGCTTCTGAGCGAATTTGCTCAATGGTTTCCGATTTCCGAAAATTAGCTTCGAAGAAATGATTCTCATTCGTGACAGGCAACCATATCTAGGAATTTTTAGCAAAAGCAATTTACTAAATATAGAGGAAATGTTGAGACCTCCGTTGGATTTGAAACTGATCAGTTTCTACTGCAATTCCGATGACCGAAATGGATCTGAGTGAGATTTTGTACCGAGTCTGTGGAAGGAAGCTTTCGTGTAATGTACTGTTATTTTTTTCAACGGCGATTGATGGATGAGAAAATATATGAGAATGTTTTTTCCTTTAAACTCGTGTCGATTTTGTTTCGTGAAAATTATGGTTTGAGATTTTTTTGGAGTGTAAATGATATTTTGAGGTCATTGACGAGTTGAGAACAATCAAAATAAATACAGTGAGGCCCCAAGATGCGTACGTAGTTGGTGCATCAAGAGTGTCCCTAAGTTGAAATGTCCCTAAGTTGAGTCTCATTTTCCCATAGGCTTAAATTATATACTTTTTAATTGGTGCTTTATGTACAAAATACTCACCAGAATCATGTGAAAACAAAAATTGTCTTCCAATTTAAACTGATTCCAATCAATATATTTCAACACAATATGTGCATTTGGGGAATTGAATACTGATACATCTGTACAGTACATAGACATGTTGGCATTTTCTGAAAAAAAAAATATTCAAGTGAAGAAAAGAGAAGGAAGTCCCTCTCTGCTGGAGGGAATTTTTAAAATTAGCTAAATGGATGGTAAATTGGTAACAGAAATGCCCAAGAACTTCTCTTAAATCAATTTTAGGGTTGGAAGTATCTGTTTCTTGTAATTTGGTCTGAAATGTATTTGCAATTTTATAAAAAAATGTCCCCACGTCAAGTCAGTGTCCTCATGTTGGGCCTTTTTATTAATTTTTTAGGATAAAACAAGTGCCCCCATGTTGAATTGTCTGCAGTTCTAGGTGTCCGCATGTGGGGGTCTCACTGTACAAAATTTTAATCCAAATCTTGTTTGATTGTTGTATCCTGAGTTTAAGCGTTCATATTTTCAAACCATTCTGATAAATCACAGTCAGAATTAGTTTACAAAATTTAACGCGCCTTTGTGTAAACAAAAATAAAGATATTGTGTATTGAGTCTCAGCATATAAAGTATACTCTGCATTTTTATTTGGCTTTAAAAGAGCTAGTCCACTTCATTTCTCTCAATTCTTTCAAAAGAGATGAGATGAATGGTTTTCTAAGCACAGCCAAATGCTGGTTTACAGTCCACCAAATTGTTAAATTAACAATTATGATGTGTTTTCTGTGCAACGCAATGCATTAACCATTCATGTTCTCTTGTGATCAAGGATCACAAAAGAACATGAACAAAAATACAGGCAATCAGCCTTTGGAAGGCTGAGATCACATATTCAAGGGGTTTCCTTGAATATATGTTCCTAGTTTTGAATCACTTGTATCAACAGTTTCAGCTGAGTTGAATAGATTCAAGAATTTCAAAGAATAAGCACAAACAATGCGCAAAACAGATTTGAATAACACAATTCAATAACACACAGTAACACAGTAACACAGATGTGCACACAAATAATTTAAAATTAATAAAAGGAAAAGAGGTGAATGTCCAAGAGTTCAGGACAGATTGACTCTTAAATTTGAATTATGTTTTTCTTTGATGCACTGCATCATCAGCTCATGCAGGAGGAAACCTTCATCAGTTTCCTCTCATGTTTTCTCCTCAACACAGCTCCAGCACCCATGTTTCTCAAGATAATGAAAAAATTTCATAGTTCTAAAGTCTTTGAGTACCTCTAGAACTGTTTTATCTCTGGGTATTTTGAACCTGATCTGAGATAATAACTTCATGCATGGATTCAAATTCACAGTCTTGTGATACATTTTGATCAATCTATCGTTCTGTTGTTTTGATAAGTATACATTTTAGCAAAATGTTCTCATCCACAATTTCCCAAGCAATGTTGAATATGAATGAATGAATGAACAGAAGACTTTATTTGTCACTTTTCAGCATTCACAAAGTTCACTCAAGATTTCCACAACCAAACCCTCCTTCCCACCCAACCCAAATCCACTCAAAGACATTTTAATCACTTCATGTTGAATATAAGTTGCTCTTTTCAAGTATAAGCCAAGAGCGAGAGGTTGAAGCACTTGCAATATTTTGTTTGAATGAAGATCGAGATGATCAAATCGATTTTCTGTTGTCTTGATCCTGAAGAATAAATAAAAATATGCTTTTATAAAATATTACGGATAATACTGTAGTTCGATTATAAACCGACGAGAGTTTTCGAATCAATTTTCTGAGAGGCCTGGGAAAAATTGGAATCCTAAAGAATGCTTTTTACTGCTGAACATGCGATGATCCCTCGATCCAAAAAATAAACATACAAATATGCCGTACTTCAAATGTTTCCCGAATTTGTCACGAAATGTTTGTCTAAACCGTTGCATTTACGCCTAAAAAGAACATGTTGAGACTCGACAAGCACTTTGCCATGGCTTTTATATAGAAGAACAGTTGCATAACACTGATGACATTCCGTCAGCGCTTAATTAAATCTAAAAAAAAACGACTTCCGAATGAAAAACTGAAATAAATGTTTTTCTATATAGTAGCCGAGAATCACGATAAGGAAAAATCACATCCGTTTGATGCACAGAAACGGATGGATCATTCTGCGATGACACACAAAAAAAGATATTTTTAAACTAGGTTATTTGTTCAAACGCCCGTGTATTCAATTTTCTATATACACTAAAAGTGAATCCGATTCGGAAATCGTCAGTCGTGAATTAACGCCGTCGAGTGATCGTCCGTAGTTCTATTATACACTTTTCAAAAACAATTCTCTCAGAAGCTTATTGTTTGGTGACAAGCAGAAAGAAATATAGGAAAGAAAAGCGACTACATTTCGTTGCATGGGGTCCAACATCTTGTAAACTGTATCATGTTTCGAGATAATGAATCGTAAACCTGCGACGGTTTTCGGAACAAGTCATCGTCAGAAAATGCGCAGTTTTCACTCGCGGGTTGAAGCTCATTGATTTCCGTTAGAGCCATTCGATTTGCGAAGAAAAAAAAGAGAAGCCTCTATAAAAGAATGGCGGACAATCCAGGCTTTCAGCTCGAAATAGCTGTTGATGAGAGCATCAGTGTTGAAGACTCGCGAAATCAAGAAGTGCGTGATGAAAAAAATAAGGAAGGAAATAGCACGGAAATTTCAGCTGAAAATAATGCGGCTGCGGAACGTGGAGGATGGACAAACCAGTTGGATTTCTTGTTTTCCTGCATCGGTTACGCAGTAGGTCTGGGGAACGTTTGGCGATTCCCTTACTACTGCTTCAAAAATGGCGGAGGTGAGAAAATTCAGGTTTCTGGCTCTCAATACAATTGAAACTCTCCAAGTGGAATTTCAATGGACAAGCAGAAAAATTTAACTTAGAGGTTTGGACTTAGGGAGGTGTTGAGTTGAATAGAATTATAGATGTTTGACTCATAGAATAATTTTTTTATATGAAAACATTGAATATTTGCACTAAATTGTACATTGTGATATTGTGGGCCTTGAATTGCTTCTAAAATAAGTTGACCGGGCACTCAAATTGGAGAGATGGGTTCATTTGTCCAATTTAGTCTGTCAGATCCTTTCAACTCATATCAAATTCCATCTTTTATTGCTTTTTTCTTTCCTGTTTCGATAAAAAAAAGCTTAAAGGCCTAAAAATTTTGACCCTTGGAGGTTTCAGAGGAAAAGCCTTTCAGTTAGGGAGGTTTTTAATGAGGTGTTTCTAATGGAATGCAGAAGGGGAATTAAAAAAACATATGACTTAGGGAGGTATTCAACTTATGGAGGTTTGACTTAACAAGGTTGAACTGTACTTTTGTGCAGCAAAGATAAAATTTTTCTGCAAAATTTGCTGACTGCACAGACAACACTGAAAAAGGGCACTACATCCAGAACAAAATTTCATAATTTTTTAAAGTTTGGAAAAAAACAACTCCATACTAAAAATAGAATTGCATCCTCAAGGCTGATATTTTATTTCACCACCTATCTGGGTGAGCTCCATTATTGAAAGGCTACTCTCATGTTTGGCTCCAAAAGGTTTTGAAGGGCTCCCATTTAGAGGCCACAAAAATAACTGTGGAACCTCACTGAGTCAAATTTCAATAAAGGGGTGGCCAGAAAAAAGTTTGAATTGCAGAGGTTCATAGTTTGAAGGTTTTGAGTTAGGGAAACGATCAATTTTTTTGAAAGAAACAGAGGATTGGCAGAAATTTTAAATGGAGATATTCTGGGCTTTAAATTACCTCTTGGGTGAGTTGACAGGATGCTAAACTTGGAGGCAAGGGTTCATTCGCCCAATTAGTCCTAAATTTCCTTTCAAAACATATTGTTACTCTTTTATTTTTTTGATCTTCCATCTTTGAAGAAATAAGTAATAGCCAAATGCCTCAGAATATTCTAGTTTTGAAGCTCTTAGAGGAAAAGCCTCTTTGAGTTAGAGAGGTTTTAAAGCATTGTTTCTAAGATAAATGAGACAGGACTTGAAAAAATTGGTCTTTGGGAGGTATACTCAACTTAGCAAGGTTTGAGTTATTTTGGTTCAAGTGTGTATGAGAAAAATGTCTCACTTCCAGAAATCAGAGCACATTACCCCCCTGGACAAAGTCAAACGTTGCCCCAGCCCACATGGCTGGGTTTTCATGACCTTCCATGAAAACAAAATGTAGGCCAACCCAAAAAAATTCCTACTTGGCCCAGTGATGGGAAGAACACACCAATTTAGAAGTGTCAAATATGCATATGGTCAATAACCTTCAATTTAGTGACCCCCTCCCCCTACTTAGTGCCACAAAATGTGCCAGGACAAAGAATGGCTTTAAGCCTTGGAGAGTAGAGGGTTTATTTCCATTTAATTGCAAAGTCAGGACTTTTAAAAAGGCAGGAACATTTTGTATTTACCAAAGGTTGATGAAATGCCCCATGGGTTGCAAAAGCACAAGTCAGGAAAACTCTGGGTGAAGAATATCCTCTTGTATTGGGAAATCTCAAATGTTAATCTTGAACTTATAATGCAGCAAAGGAACACCACCCAGCGAGGATCTTTTCAGGCTAAATATTCTGAGAAATCTGGAAAATATATTGGACTTTTTCCTGATGTAGGCTTAGGTTCAATAGATTGAGTTTTCATTTTCAAAGTGTTATTCATTGTCAAACAATTTTGCATAATTATCCCAACTTTGCTGCAGTAAGGTTAAATCAAGGTTTGACTGTTTTATAAATAAAAAAGTTGTTACAGAATATGATTATATTAATTCAATCATAAACAAATACAGTAATATGCTGCTTATTGCGTAAAATAATTTAAATAAAACCTTTTCAATTGGAAATTGAATAACCCAACAAAAAACTGGATGTCGAGATGAAATCAAGGCCTGTAAAAGGTTTGAACTCCAAAAATTCAAATACATTCTCATCACCAAAATTCACCAAATACTGCAGAACAGAAAACTAACTCCTCCTATTTTTTGTATAGTGTAATCTCATTACGACTTATCTGGTCATGCAGGCTTATTGCTTTCAACAAATCACTTTTTGGGTCCCAATCCAATAGCCACAATGCTATTTGTATTTCGTTTTAACACCCTTTTGTTCATCAGGAAGAAATGTCCCAAACGCTTCGTTGTAACGAGATTCTGCTGTAAATAGCCCCAATATGGACGCAAAGAAAACGGCAAGCAGTCAACCCCTCTAATTGATATTAATACATTATTGAATTGTAGTAGGACCGAGTCGTCATTATATGGGAAGTATGTCGTGAAGATATTCTAACTTTTGAAAATAGTTTGCAAATGCAAATCACTGGAGGTGAAGCTTTTTTTTTTGCAAAGTGTTGACTGACCTAGTCTTTCACCAACGGGATTTTTAAAAAATACACAGGTGCATTCTTGGTTCCGTATTTCATCGCCGTTCTCACCTGCGGGATCCCGTTTTTCGTCATGGAAATCACGCTGGGTCAATACTTTGGCCTGGGCAACGTTGGCGTCATCGAGAAGGTCGCTCCCATTTTCAAAGGTCAGTTTGTTCGTGCATATCTTGCACCTTTAGAAAAAATAAAAATTAAAAATCCTTGAAGAATTCCACTACTGTATACTGTACAATCCATTACCATTTTTATTTTTAAAAAATAGCTTCGTCAGTTTGCTGAAGGTGGATGAATCCGAGATTTATTTAAAATCTCGGACAAGCAGTGCGCAGCTCAGCTCTTCTAAAAACCAGAAGAAAAAAATGTTCAGACTCTGATTTATCGATTTAACTGTTCCAGAATTTGGAGTAATTATGAAGCAAACAAGGCGAACATAGTGTATAATGCGTCTTCATTTAAAATCAAACAGGGTTTTCCTTCCTTATTCTCTTATCGTTCTAAGTAATTCCAGACAATGTTAGAGGCTTTCATTATAATCCCAACACAAATACTGAAATACTTGTAAAGAACGCAGTCTTGAACTATTCGAACCATTTTGCCTGGAAATACTCCAAGTGTGCCTGTTTGGGTACAGTCCGAAAGAAACACACTTTCATTGCTTCAAATATTTGTTTCTAACAAATCAGAGCTTTTTTATTTTTTATGCTTCAGTTACTGTAAAAATACAGTATCTCCTGCAGATTTTATACGAAAAAAATTGTACCTTGAAGAAGCCAAAAATGTGTTAGCGAACCTATATGTTGGGCAAGCCCGATATGAATTTTGGCCGTGCCTATTGTTGAGTTGCGAATAATTTAAAATATAGAATAATTATATTTCTGGAAAACACCAGATCGCATTCCCTCCTCGAAATTGAACAGCCCAGCACCACCTGACACCGCAGTGTCTTTGAATCTTGTTCCTTGACCAATCACAGGCCCTCAAATTATAGACAATAATTGTCCAGTACTGGAATCTATAGGTCATTAGAAAAAGCTAATAAAGCTTATACAGTATCTCATATAATCTATATACAGTCAGTGTTTTGAGAGCATTCAATCAAATTGGTTATCATGTGGGCAGCGTTTGTTGTGTTGTATTATAGTTCAATCCTTGTTGGGACTTGGACATATCAGAAATTCATTTTTAAACTCTAGGAATTTTAAAAGATATTTCCTGCCCTGTCCCAGGCTGATTGCTGTGCTTCATTTTTATAAGTATTCTTTATTTTAAATGTATAGGTCAGAAATTCAATCTTATATTGAGGCAACCTTCTGTCCCCGTGCGTCCGGTCAGCCGCCGGTTGGTCAATTCATGGTCCCGCACCCCCTGATGGTTGTCAAGCGCCGGTCAGTCCAACTGCCAGCCAGGGCAGTTCTTGGCCCCGCCAATCCCCAGCCCACCAAACTGCAGTTTGGTCAGCTGATTGTTGGGGCACCCAAACAATCGGGTGACAAGAATCATCCTGATATTTTTTCAGAATTCAGTGAGCAGAATGGTATCCTACCACAGATTTTTTTTTCAAAATTTCAGCAATGTTAGTTTAGGTTAGGTTAGGTTAGGATATGTTAGGTTAAGTTAGGTTGGGTTTGATGAGTTTTTTCTTTTTGTGAAAATTTTTATAGGATGAAATTTTGTAAAAAAAACAAATCTGTGGTAGGATGCCATTCTGCTCACAAAATTCTAGAAAGAACCAGCATGATTCTTGTCACCCAATTGTTTGGGTGCCCCAACAATTGGGTGACCAAACCGCAGTTTGATGGACTGGGGATTGGCAAGTCCAAGGACTGCCCTGGCTGGCGGTTAGACCAACCGGCACTTGATGACTGGCAGGTGCGCAACCGTGATTTGAACAACTGGCGGATGACCCAGTACCCTGTCCCGGATACTATAAAATGCCATAGATGCATTTAAAACATATGACCAACTTGTTTTACTGAATTTTTGGACAGTTTGATCTTTGAGTAAGTTTTGGTACAAACTATAATTTTAAATGCACTAAAGCCTAGTCAAACTTTGAAAGATAAGCAAGAATAAATTGAGTTGGGGAGATTCCAAGTTAGGGAAATTCGCATTTTAATTATAGAGATGAAATTTACAGCACAGTACAGTAAATGAATTGTAATTGGTGATATTCTGGGCCTCAAATAGCTTCTTGAATGAATTGACAGGATGTTGAACTATTGGAGGTATCATCAAGGGTTATTTCTCCCAATTTGTTTTTCCATTATTTTCAAAAAACAGCATTACTTTTTCATTGTTTTTCTTGTTCCTGTTTCAATGAAATAATAGCCTATAGGGATCCAGAAAATTTGAGCTATGGAGGTTTGAAAGGGAAAGCATTTGAGTAAGTGAGGTTTTTAATTCATTGTTTCTAAAGAAATTCAGAAAGGAATTTTAAATAAATTTAACACAGGCAGGTATTTGGCTTAGAGGGAGGTTTTTCTCATAAAGTTCAACTGTATTAAATCTTTTTTCAGCAGCCGTTATTGGATCAAGATTTCCGAAATTTGTCAGTCACTAGCGATATTTGATTATTCGAAGAAGCCGTTTGATTATTAATTCCGAATGATCAAATTTACACACAGCAGGCAAAATTGACAACTTTTCACTGTCTGGGTGTTTCCCAAAATTGCACAGGCACTGGGATATCGTCACAAATCATGATCATCCACATAAACATTTACTACGCCGTGGTGATTGCCTGGGGGCTTTTCTACCTCGTCATGTCCTTTTCGGCATTGCCGGATGTGCCTTGGAGCACATGCAATAATTGGTGGAACACTGACGATTGCGTCGTCGATTTGGGACAGAATTCCAGTTTCCTGAACGTCAGCACAAGTAACCCTCGATCTCCGGTTGAAGAATATTGGGAGTGAGTATCATTCGAAGTTGTTTCTTCATATTTGACAAACCACCCCCCCCCTCCCCAGCAGCACTGAAAATGAACAAAAACAACATCGGAATGCTAAAACAAAAGATGAGACAGATTCTTAAAAATACGCTAAGAAATCATGTGGATTATTAAGCTCATTTGACGAAGACATAATTCTATATTACAGTATTCCTATACATAGTCTCCATTGCTGGAATTTATTCTTCTAACAGGAAGGTGTCGCCCGAAGGTAATTACATAACAGAGACAGTACATTTCAGAGACTTTGCCAACTCTGTACATTAGTTGTAAAACGGTTCCTCTAGTCATACAGCTTCAAAGAGTCGATGGTTTAAATTATTACTGCTCTGGATGAAGATTCAGACAACACCTGCAAAAAATCATGATATCCAGAATGAATATTTCAAATATGGGAAAAGATCTGGTTGAGTTAGTGCATATACAGTGAGATCCAAACATGCAGACACCCAACTATACATCAGGTGATTTGAATTAGGGACACTTGAAGCAACAAAATCTGACCCAACATCTGGACAATGGCTCAAGAAAATGACAGCATTTTGGCAAAATTTTCCAAAAAATCTCAAAAATTTATTTTGTAATTCGAATATATTTTCTTTTTTTTAGCTATTTATATTCAAAAAATTGGTATTGCATTTGATAATGAATTTTCTTTAGTTGATAATGGAACACAGGATGATTTTTTGCTTAGTTTTACGGAGTTATTTCTAACATCTGGGCACCTTATATTAAAGCTTATTTATTTTGTTCCTTGCTTCTTGAGCTCCTTTTGATGCCAAAAAACCAGATTCCATGCGCTTTCCTTCTGAACTGTTCATTTTGGCGCCTTGAAGTTGTAACCCAGAAACCGAATTGCGATTATTTTCTTTTCTCCATATATGGAGGGAGATCCTTCTCTACAAGGTATCCGTTTCCTTGCAGCTGTTCCCCTTTTGTTTTGGTTCCCCCTCTCTCACGTCGGCCCGCATTAATGCGTGACGGTCGTTATTGCGCGTTTCTCCTTTTCAACTTGCTATTTGTCGACAGTGACAAATGACTTGCACTGCCTTCTTCTAAACTGCTAATTTAGAAGAAGCCTATTCCGCCNAATTTTGAAAAAAAAATCGGTGGTAGGATACCATTCTGCTCACTGAATTCTGAAAAAAAAAATCAGCATGATTCTTGTCACCCAATTGTTTGGGTGCCCCAACAATCAGGTGACCAAACTGCAGTTTGGTGGGCTGGGGATTGGCAGGGCCAAGAACTGCCCTGGCTGGCAGTTGGACTGACCGGCGCTTGACAACCAGCAGGTGCGCGACCATGAATTGACCAACCGGCGGCTGACCGGATGCACGGGGACAGAAGGTTGCCTCAATATAAGATTGAATTTCTGACCTATAGATTTAAAATAAAGAATACTTATAAAAATGAAGCACAGCAATCAGCCTGGGACAGGGCAGGAAATATCTTTAAAAATTCCTAGAGTTTAAAAATGCATTTCCGATATGTCCAAGTCCCAACAAGGATTGGACTATAATACAACACAACAAACGCTGCCCACATGATAACCAATTTGATTGAATGCTCTCAAAACACTGACTGTATATAGATTATATGAGATTCTGTATAAGCTTTATTCGCTTTTTCTAATGACCTATAGATTCCAGTACTGGACAATTATTGTCTATAATTTGAGGGCCTGTGATTGGTCAAGGAACAAGATTCAAAGACACTGCGGTGTCAGGTGGTGCTGGGCTGTTCAATTTTGAGGAGGGAATGCAATCTGGTGTTTTCCAGAAATATAATTATTCTATATTTTAAATTATTCGCAACTCAACAATAGGCACGGCCAAAATTCATATCGGGCTTGCCCAACATATAGGTTCGCTAACACATTTTTGGCTTCTTCAAGGTACAATTTTTTTCGTATAAAATCTGCAGGAGATACTGTATTTTTACAGTAACTGAAGCATAAAAAATAAAAAAGCTCTGATTTGTTAGAAACAAATATTTGAAGCAATGAAAGTGTGTTTCTTTCGGACTGTACCCAAACAGGCACACTTGGAGTATTTCCAGGCAAAATGGTTCGAATAGTTCAAGACTGCGTTCTTTACAAGTATTTCAGTATTTGTGTTGGGATTATAATGAAAGCCTCTAACATTGTCTGGAATTACTTAGAACGATAAGAGAATAAGGAAGGAAAACCCTGTTTGATTTTAAATGAAGACGCATTATACACTATGTTCGCCTTGTTTGCTTCATAATTACTCCAAATTCTGGAACAGTTAAATCGATAAATCAGAGTCTGAACA